CTCTCCAGCCTGTCCAGGTCCCTCGGAATGTCAGCCCAGCCTTCTGGCATATCAGCCATTCCCCTGAGTTTAGTATCATCAGCAAACTTGCTGAGGGTGCACTCTGTGCCTTCCTCCAGGTCACTGATGAATATGTTGAACAAGACTGGACCCAGGACTGACCCCTGGGGGGACACTGCTAGCTACAGGCCTCCAACTTGACTCTGCGCCATTCACCACAACCCTCTGAGCTCGGCCATCCAGCCAGTTCTCCATCCACCTCACTGTCCACTCATCCCTCCCACGCTTCCTGAGCTGATGTGGGAGGATGTGATGGGAGACAGTGTCCAAAGCCTTGCTCAAGTCCAGGGAGACAACCTCCACTGCCCTGCCCTCATCTACCCAGCCAGTCATTCTATGATAGAAGGCTGTCAGATTGGTCCAGCATGATTTCCCTTTGGTGAATCCGGGCTGGCTACTCCTGATCACCTTCTTGTCCTCCGCATGCTGAGGGATGACCTCCAGGAGGAGCTGTTCCATCCCCTTTCCAGGGATGGAGGTGAGGCTGGCAGGCCTGGAGTTCCCTGGCTCCTCCTTCTTGCCCTTTTGGAAGACTGGCGTGACACTGGCTTTCTCCCAGTCCTCAGGTGCCTCTCCTGTTCTCCAGGACCTTTCCAAGATGATAGAGTGGCCTCGCAATGTTTGTGCCTCATTCTTGCCCATGTATCAGAGTACTGCTTTCTGTCTAAATGCTTTTGGTGTATGATATAAGCCTTGCTCCAATCTTATACTGCAGTATCACAAGATATATAGAATTCTGGTCAGTACTATTTTTTAAAACTTTCTGAGTAAATTACATAGTTAAGGCAATGATTTTGAGTCAACGCTTTACATTCTTCTGTACTGTAGCAGAACTGAATGCTGTAGTCATCTACCTGATTCTTGTCATTGCCAGCTGTTTTGCTATGTGAAAGGCAATTTTGTTTTGTAGGGTATTCTATGATTATTCCATACTATAACTATATCCCCTTAGTGATACAACCAACTCCGTAAATGTAGTATCACCTGTTACTGCTTATGGAGAAAGCAAACTTGATTCTGGGCTAGGCTGGCTCTTCATCTGTGCAGTATTTTGAGAATGGTGCTAATGATTAGCTCAAAGATAAGTGTCTGCTGTGACTATCTAAAGGCTTCTTAAACTGTTTTTAATGTGATCTTTCTTTTATAGTTCTTAAATGAAAGTAAAATTAGTCCATGTTCTGATGACACTGAACCAGGTTTAAATGAATTCTGAAAACTTTAGTTATTCTTGAGCTTTGAATAAAATTCACTTAGAATTTTCTTAACATTCTGGTTTTGTAACTACTTTTAAAGTGGAATGAGTAGATGTGTGGAGGTAGCTTTACTGAAGCTCAGATGACTAACTTGAAGCATTTCTGTTTTTTGTGTTCCCTTAGGTAGTACTTCAGACTTATTTACGCTAATTCTTTGTTTCTTTGGACTTACCTGTGTCACTGCTTAACAATCCTGGTTGCACCTATTGGCATAACTTGCAATATAAGTTATACTTTCTCCCCTTCTTTTCTTGCCCTCTACTCAATGAATTCCTTGAAAAACTGAACAGATTGACAAGGAACTATAGCTGCTCAGCAGTAGTATTCTTAATGTAGTACAGTCTTGCTTATATTTAGACTTAAGATATCTGAATGGCTTGAAAGTCTGTTGGGAGATGAACTTTTTCCTGTGCTTTCCTGCAGTTAATTGTAGAGAACTGTTTAGGTCTTCAGGTCTTAATCATCTTGGATGTTCTGTTTTCTATCCATTTGCTTTGTAGTGGGGACTATAAAAGGAATACAACTTGTCCACTGAAACACAGCCTTATAATATATAGCTAATAGTTATTTTTCAGCCAGTTTCTCAACTTTGATCTAGTGTAGTCCAAACTTTCTTTAAATAGATTTTTAATGTTGGTTTCAAATATTTCTACAGGAGAACTCTTACTTAACAGTGAAGTATGTTGTACACTCCCTATTTGGAGTAGGGGATCTGTAGCTTCAAAATTTTGTTTTTTCTCCCTCTGAGCTTCAGAAGATAAACTTTTACGCATGCTAAAGGGAAAAGAGGTATGATTTACATGTTAAATATAACTGTGGTGTTTGAAGCTTATAAACATACTGCTGTTAGCTGTGGGAGAACTAGGATAACTGGCAGGACTTCTCAGTTTGTGGAAGGAAGACTATGGCAGAGGCCTGTCTGTTTTCCAGCCTCAGAAGAAAAATGAGAATAAAAGGATACTGAACCTTACTGTTACCATGAACAGTTAACAGTGGTGACTCTGCAACATGTATCTGACAGAACAGCAATGTCTTGCCTGATATCCCTGATTTAGCTGCCCATTCAATTATTGCATAGGCGTACAAGTTTAGTGCTCATTTTGGCTCTTCTCTTACTTATTTTTGGCAATACTTCTTGTATAAAAGTTAGCATCCATTGTAACTTCATTTTAAAATCAGGTTTAACCTTCTGTGGTGGCACTGCGTAAGTATTTAGTTTGACAGGGTGAAAAAAGACTGCTTTGCTTTCTTTTAATTTCTACCTAATACTAGGAATAAATGGATGTATTCTACCTATTCAGTTCTCAGAACAGGAGTCCTGATTTTGAGGTGCTTAATTTTTTTTATTATCTTAGTGCTATGAATGCTTGATCTCATGGTTGGGAAAAAATGAGTAAACACCTGCTAATAATTCTGGTGTGTGAGTAAGGGAAAAAGCCACTAGGCTTAAATTCCTTGAACTAGGGGAAAGGGAGAATGTGAGGGGAATATTAAACAGTGGCTCAGTTTGTTACTATGAATGGATACAAACATGAACTGATTTATTGAAAAGTTAAGTTCTATAATAGCTAGTGTTAGCATGCTACTGTTAAACCAATTAAAAAGTTCAAGGAGACTTGCTGAGCTGTGTCCTGCAAGGGAGGGTTACACTAAACTTGCACAAAACTTGTAGGCAGATTCAAGGAGTTTGTCTTCAGGGATGAGTTGATGAATGCAGCATTTGCAAACTCCTAGCATAGAGACTTTCTGCCACTGTTGGAGAAAGATCTGCTACTGGCTGGCAGAAAGCAGTGCTAGATGGGTTTTTTGTCTGAGCTGGTATCATTGCTCTGACATATGGGTTGTTAACTCTAATATATGCTAGCCTCAAGCTTTCTCCTGACCCTCCATAACACTTGCGTTTTCTCTCCAAGCTTCCGTGGGCTTCTTAGTCCCCGTAATCTTTAATCAAAGGCTTCTCTGTCAGTGTGTTATGAACACAGGCTTTTTTGCTCAAGATTTGTCACTCGGAATGATTCAATCTTTCTGTAGCAATTCTAATCTTTACAGTAAGCTCCTAGTCTTGTGTTCTTACATCACAATATTGCAGTGGAACTCCTGTCTGGGAGAGCAAGTCTATTTACTTGCATCTAGGCAGTGGCAGTGACTGACTAGCTGTCATAGGAAGTCAAGTCTTGCTTCCCTTCTCCCTGCTGCTAGGTGACTGGAGCTGATTCAAGAGAAACATGGTGGTGAAGCAGTTCAGGGAGCTAAACTGGCAGATTGCCCTTTTCTGTAGGGTGAGTTAGTAGCTTTTTGTCTGTTCTTAAATCCCTGTGTTTCCTCACTTGGCAGTTGAGGAGGAATTCTGGTGGTAAGGAGGGACTGGAGATTGGACTGATGTTGCTGATGGTAGGTGACCTTAGACTGGCTTAGTAATGATGTGAAATGCACCTTGATACTCAGACCAATGGGAGGAAATTCCTGATATGCCATGCTTGGGGAAGACTAGGTAGCCTCTGTACATGCTATAAAGTATAGCTTTATTTGAATTGTCTTACCAATTGATAGGTAATTGCAGCTGTAGATTTTCTTCTTAAACCTAATGAGTTTGACACTTAAATCTGTCTTTAGGGAAGTAATACAGGAAGGAATGTTCTCCTACCTCTACTGTAGGAATTTTCAACAGCCTTTGCTCTTATTTTGCAGATGGCTTGACTGCTCTTTCATTTTCCATTAGTTCCTTGACTGTGATTGGAATGTTGGCAGCCATCACTTACACAGTAAGTTGCTATGTGACTATTTCAACTCCTTATTAATGATTGCACTTATCAGACTACACTTGTATAGAAGACTGTCCTCACACTAAGTAGCTTCATCTTTTAAACTTGAAGTCTTAACTTTTCATGTTTTGCAGTACTGCTAAGTTTGTAGAATGAGAAGAATTGCTTTTTTACTGCAAGTTAGATTTCAGAACCACTACTTCAGTACTCTAGTACAGTTTAGATTTCAGTTTCAATATATTCCTGCAAGGAAAGGCCACATTCCTCACAGCTTGAGAAACAGTAAACACCTCATTTGTCTCTAGGCCTCTGGATCTTAATCCAGCAGTGGAGAATGAACTTTTACCTTTTTATGTATTGAACTGTGGTATAACTTGGACTTACTTAGTATCATAGGCTGACCAGATTATAACTATGTTACAACTTTGTAAGGATAAAAACCCAACACCAGAGCTTTTTAACCAAAACTGAATCTGGCAGAATAACTTGATGAGCGCTAAAGTAGCCAAAATTTTCTTAATGATAAGAACTGTTGTATTTCTGGAAAAAGTCTGTTCTTGTTTCAATGAATGAAACAGTAATGTCTCTTTTAATAACACATGTCATTGCTTCAGAATTTTGTAATTCTACAATTTGACTTAAAGTGGATATTTTTACATGTCAAGATTCAATTTGGAGTCTGAAGAATCTGCAACATTTTCAGCATTATTTTTCTTCAAAAATCAACAGTGGCAAAATTAAAGCCAACTGAGCCTGAAACAGTTTAAAAACTTTTTTAAAGCCCAGGGGGTGGTATTGTCAGTCTTAAGCATGCAGCTAAACTACTGTAGTTATTACTGTAGCTCAGGAGGTTTCAGAAGTATGGTGTACATTCAGAAAGTGATCATGAATCTCATGGGTAAGACTATTTTCAGTTCAACTGCTTGATTCTTGTTTTAGTTTGCAAAGGAAAACAACTATTAGCTCTATTGGCTGTTGCTCCTTTATTGTTTGCAACTCATCATCATATGATGGTTTGTTCTGTATATTTCTTATACAGAACTGGTACTTGAAATAGTTTGTTCAACATCTGATGTTTGTATAGTCACTTGCTTTTCCATCTGTTCCTTTTTTTAGTTGCTCTGTGTCAACCTGTTTGTAATGCTACACATGTTAAGTTGTCACTATCAGGTTAAAAAAAATCTTGTAACACAAGATGAAGTTTTAAAGCCTATCAGTTAACTGCAGACAAAGTGTTAGTGCTTCTGAGAAGTCAGTGTTTTTGATAGGTGTTAGTCTCTATGTCCTTGCTAAAGTAGCTTTTTCTTTTCCATTATAGTCTGGCTTTAATGTAGTAGAGCTTTTCCCACATAGCTTTTCTAGTGAATTGTAAATGGCTCTGTGACAGTACTTCATACAGTAAAAGATGCTCTAAACCACTGGATGCTTTAAACCATAAAGGAGGTGTTTTAGAGAAGGTGATTGTCAGGCAAAGAAAGTGGGCAAAAGGTATCCCAGAACAAGGGGAGGAAGAAGGACTGTTTTGCTACCCTCTTACCCAGCTATGACTAAATGTCTGCTACGTGCTACGTTTTGGCTATAAGAAACAAGTCTAAATTTAGTAACAAATGTAACTAACAATTTTATGTCTCTTTATAATAGTGACTTTCTGCTGGCATAAGTGACAGCAGGATTGTGGGAGTCAATTCAGTACAGATACCTAAATGTAGGTCTCTGAGAACTTTGACAGCTTGGTTACAGTCAAAGATCAAGCTCCAAAGAATAGGAGAGCAATTCAGCTGACCGGCTAGCAAGTGTCTAAGGTGAGCAGGATGGCTCTCAGCTCCGTTGTCCAAGGGCTTAATCTTAAGACTTATAATAAGATTCAGTTCATTGCTTTTGGTCTTTGATTGACATGGGCCACTAGAATTCAGGCTGTTTTGCTGACATCGAGATGATGTCCTGGCCAAAAAAAGTTCCAGAACTTCACTGACTGTAAGAACTTATCAGCTTTTGCATTTGTTTCTTTTAATCATGGAAAATTTCTTTGTTCAACTACATTATTGCAGAGCAGATGTGTTTTAACCCTTGTAGGACTAGAATTAGGAATGAACTCATTAGCTGGGAGAATATCAGTGTTTTCTGCAGTTTGAAAAACTGGCATACTGGTACCAATGTGTCCCATAACTGCTAGTGAACATCTGAAATGCAAGGCTGTGTACGTTTTAGTGACAAACTTGTATTGCGTCATCAAATTTTCAGGTAGTAAGTGCAGCACTGAAATTCCATAAGTAGAATATGGACCAAAATGAAATGGGATGTGTAACATTAGTTGTCACTCAACACTGTAAAAATTTCCCTGTTTTTTTCCCTGAGAGGATGATTTGAATAGTGATGCAGGTATGTGTATGTGAGAGGATAGGTCTGTCAGATGAGACTGAATACTTTTTTTTCTCCTCATTCTGGCACTGGTTAAACTCTTCCTTCCCAACATCAAGTATGAGCAAACATGAAATGAGCTAGAATGTAGAGCTTTCTTCAGTCAAATATATAATGAAGTATATTTGACAGTTTTGCCACTCAGATAATATACGAGTGTGATGTTATGTAATGCTCAGTGTTATCTCTGACCAGAAGCTACTGAAACTTATTGAAAAACACCTGCTACTTTCAATGCTGGTCTTCAGCTGCTGCTAACTAAGTTTAATTACAGTTGTTGAATAACTTATTTTGGCTTTATCACTGAAATCCTGGGCAGGCCAAATACTTGGGATTCTTCTATCTTTTTTTAGAAGCTATGTGTCCAAGTAGTAAAATTATTCTAACTTCTCGTGGAATGAGACATTACCCCTCTTCCCACTGACTTAATAGGAGCTGCTTAAAGTGCTCTTGCAGCAGAGGGGACTAAGGAGGAAACCTAATGTTTAGCTTGAGAATGTGCAAACCTGTTGGAGTGCTGAAGCTGGAAGATGCAACCAGCTTGTTGTCTAGACAGCTGTGAACTCTGTGATAGAACATAGGGGACAGATGCCTGGTTTCTGGTGTCCACTTGAGAGAAAATTAAAACTACCCACATACTTGATGGCTGTGTTCTGAATGGAACTTGGCGTCTCTGAGCATCTGCAGTGTGGAAGAGTAAATGTCAGCACTGTCAAAATCCAGTTTCATAAACTAAAATTGGTGATCTTGAATGTTGCTGTTAGTATTCTGTTAGCACTTCCACACATACATACTTAATAGTTAATTTAAAAAGAACTAGGCAGATGGTAGCATTGAAAACAAGCTTGCTAATATCCCGTAGTGGAATACAAAAAATCATAAAAGGGAAGGCCTGGTTGTCAGTACTGTTCTGTATTAATTGCTTCCCCATAAACGTACAATACTAAGGCATATAAATGAGACTCGAAGCTTGCTCACAGGCCTGTCCTTCCATTAGGAGCTAGTGTCTCTTAGTCAAAATTCTTTTGTGCCTCAAAAAGTGGCATTTCCAGGCTGCTCTATAAGGTCAGAGTAACATATTGGAAATGGCAAGGCAGATGGAACTGCCAAGATATGGACAGTTGATGTCTCAGAATTATTCAGAGGTTTTATTTGAGTTAAATGCTTTTAACTGCATAGTATGCATCTACTGTTACCTTACTATGCTTCCACATTTTTCTCTAAACCTGAGAAGCTGGAACAAATTTGGGAACAAATATACTTATTCAGCCTAGGTCTTAAAGTAGATTTCATAGTGTAGTCTCTGGTTACTGTGTTCCTTAATCAGTTCTGTGCGCTAAGCATCATGCTGGCTGTCACTGTACTCATGTAAAATTGAAGCAAGACGTTTCAAACATTTGAAAGTGTTTTTGAGTTTTTGGTGAAAGTGTTACTTCCTTATTAGCCCTCTGAATCTCACTTATTTTTTGAGCACAAATTGTTTCTAGCCACTATTAATTTAAGAATCGTAATATGCTTCTCTGTCCTCAAAACTAATTGAGCTTGGAAATACATGACTTTTGTTTATAATAAGCAATTTCAGTGTGCTATATGTCATCTTTGTGGGTTCTTGAGTGTAAAGAATAACATTGAGTGAAGAGGTATTGCTTTAGTCTTCCTGTTTTTAGGACTTGTTCTGATACGGGGTGGTAAATGAGGTGAAACATCCAGCACAAGAACTGAAATAGGGTGTTCTTTGAATGTCTTAATTAAGCTTTCTAGACTAGTGTTTCACTGAGTACTGTGGGAACTGAGCTCTCCATGCAAAATATCTGGAGCCTTTATTTCCTATTTACTTTAACTGCTGAGTTTCACACATCCAGAAACTATTGGTACTATTTGGCAGTTGTGATTAAGACAGCGTGGGAGAAATGGAGGGCCTTCATATAAATACTGGGAATGAGGTAGTACAGGAGATCGCTTTTGTCCACCTCTGCTTTTTCTGACTGGCAGGTTATCTATCTTATGCCAAAACAGTAAGTCAGTCTTGGTATGTGGGTGGATCAAGGTACAAATGTGTTATGGACAGTGAAATGCACTTATAGAAGGCAGGTGTCCTTAAACTGTAAGTGAGAATAGATTTTCTTATTCTCTGGCATTTTTATACCCTTTTGTCCACTACAGCATAGCCTCTAACTCTGTGCCAGTTTGGATTACTGCTATCTCCTTCCAGTTGAGAGGAAAACAGTTTTGAAAAGAACAATTGTGCTACTTCATTTGATTGGTCACTTTCTGGTTTGCCGGGAGACTTTGCCTAGTTTGTCTTTGGAGATTTTTTACTATGCTACATCCTGCTTAAATGCCTCTAGACGGCATGAAGGTGTCACTGCTCAGGCAACTCTGATGCATTTATTAACCTAGTGATAAATCTATCCTTTGTGCTTTAATGAAATACTGTAATGATTGCCTATGACCTTAGACATCTGACAAGTAACTGATTAGGTTTCTGTATATTTCAGACAACCTTCTGCAGGCTTGAGTTGTTTGTCCAAGTTTCTAAAAGTGGTAGGCCTTTGCACTCTGATTACCAAACAGTCATTTGG